GATGATTTATGTTATACTGAAATATAGTGAAATCATATCAAATCGAACCATCACACATGAAACAAATCTTTTGATTTTTAATCAAACACAATTTTAGTGTTAATATTTCACTTTTTCCAGGTTCAGGTTCGTATGCCAAACTCCTTCTGCATGGAGTTTGCATGTTCTCCGTGAGCATTCGTGGGTTCTCTCCGGGTACTCCGGCTTCCTCCCACAGTCCAGAAACATGACTGTTAGGTTAATTGGCTTCTTTAAATTCTCCGTAGGTGTGAGTGTGCGTGAATGGTTGTTTGTCCCATTTGTCTCTGTATTTCCCTGCGATGGACTGGCGACCTGTCCAGGGTCTCTCGCCCGTAGACAGCTGGATTAAGTGTGTCAGAAATGGATGGTAAAAAAATGCCTTGGGTTTTTCCCCTGCATACCACCAGAGGGCGCTGGTGTACCACTGTTTGAGAAAGACTGGTTTGAAATAGATTTACCTGACTTTAAAGTGGATGGAACCAACCTTTTAAGTTCTGAATTTCAGTTTGTTTTTAAAAAGTAAAATAGTAAAGAATCATTGTGCATAAATAAACTAAATATTTTAACTCCCTCCAACAAGCAGGACCAGAACACATGAAAACCTGTGGGTGGAAAATCAGTCTCCTAAAACTCTCCCACGGAACATCGGATCATCACTTCAGCTTTTTTTTCTTCCTTTCTTTTTATGGAATAAAGATTCAGTGTCCTTATTCAGTCAGTATCTGACTGTATTTGTACATTTAATGTTGACTAAATGGCGCCATCATCATCTGCTTCAAGGGCATAAAGGCCTGCAGCAGGTGAGCGGAGTTACCTTCCTGGCGTTTGTGTCGAAGGCGCCACCACAGGCCTTACAGGTGTGTTCAGGCGGAGGAGGAGACGGCTGGGAGCTGAAGGCCGAGTTGGTGTAGGACTGATGTCTTCTGTCTTGTGACGCGTCCACGTCAGTGGAGTCCATGCAGAGCCAGTTACAGCAGGATGCAAACATCCTGAAGACAACACATGAAAAACTGTTCCTCTAATTCAGCACTCAGGTAATTCAGCATAAAGCTGTTAAACACAAAGGTTCTAAAAATCCAGACCCTCCAAATCCTTCTGTAAGCAGCCAATAGAAATATTGACAAAAACAAATAACATACCGACATTCAGATAAATGGTCTAAAACTATAACTAAAATCTGAGAAAAACAAAAAATTACTCTCTTTTTTTCGGAGTTTCCTTTCTGGATAGCAACTGTTTCAAATTACTATTTACAAAACATATTCTTTGCTTTCAGCAATAATAATGGAACAAAATTCACACCATAGCAGGAAGCAATGATACAAATCAAGTCCTGAAAATTCATTCCATACATTTAAAATTAAGTTAATACTTGGATCCAAAGTTGCTTAAAAATTGCAAGCAAGCAGAACGAAAGCTCAGCACCTCATCAACAGCAGGGGGATCTGAAAACCCCGCCCCCCAACCAGAGCTTATTCTGAGTGGCTGCGGACCCCGGAAACAGAAAACAGGTAAACTGTTCAGAGGGGTTTCATTACTCAGCATATAACACTGCCGTCTTAACTAAACTGATTGATAACCCTTTGATCTTGCCCTGTTGCTATAGTGACATTCAGAAAACAAATGAAGCAGCACCTCGTTAAACACCTCTAGGTCTAATTAAACATCCAGAACTTTTTCATACTTTTCAGAGGTACAGATCATGAGGAGGATCTGCCATGTTTTACAGACAGAAGTTCACTCTGACCCGACCCGTTTGCTTTTTCAGTAACATTTTTTAAGGTTATTCTTTCTGTTTATTCTCCCTGATGGCATCCTTGGCTCTTATTATTTTTGCTTTCATTTAAATTATTTTATTGTCTCCGACTCTGTTGAATGCAGCTTTCGCTGAGTGCAAGAAGACGATCTGAGATGTAAGCTGAAGATACCCAGCTTTGGTGACCGAGCTTTGGCTAGCTTCCTCTGATTTTTTCTGTTTGTTCTGTTTCATCTCAGTAATTCCAGCATTTCAACAGAGACTTTGTCACATGAAGCAGAGAGGAAGAGGCAGCTTTCAGGTCCCCTCTGATGAAATATCCTTTAAAGATGTGGCTTTCACTTTTTGCCTGGATAGATTTTAAGTCTTCATTTTTCTTGTTTAGCTTAATCAGAGGATAATGGATACACAGACATTTAAGACAGGAGCGAGGGCCGCTGTCCTGCAGGTTGTAGAGGTTTCCCTGCTTTAGCACAGCTGATTGCAGTTCAGCAAAAGCCTGTTAATCAGCTATGAATGATGACCGACTTTGGGAATGCCAACTTAAAGATAATCCCATTGTTGATCTTTGAGGAAAAAATTTTGTTGGCGAGATAATCTTAGCATATGTCTCAAAAGTTTTCTTTTCTTTTTTTTTTTTTTAAGGTTTCGGCAAAATAAAAGGAATCCAAATGTGTTTGTCAGACAGAGGGCTGTGTTCAAATTCATGGGCTGTCCTCCAAGGACGCAGTCTCCCTGGACTGGATCCTTCGAGGTCCGTGAAAATAAGGAGATAGGAAGAGTTTTGGCTGTGAATTCAAACAGGTCTACTCTTCAGCGGCTTTTACCACCTATAATATATCGATTACTGTAAAAATGTCCATAGATGTATATCAATTATTTATTCTCCATGTGCACAGTTTTATATTGTTAAAACACTTTACAGTATTTTATTGTTTATCTTTTAACTCTTCAATACTATGTTTTTCTTATACATTTTTCAAAGTCAACATTTGTGTGACCATTTAGTTCAATAAAGTTAAGAAAAGAAATTGATCCAAAGCATTTTAAAAGACTACAGAGAAGACATTTGCTTCAGAGGAGGATTGGGATCGGACTTTGGACTCAATCAGAATCCAAATCATTTATGACAGATAAAAGATTTTACTTCAACTAATAGCGTCATGTTTACTGTGGCTAAAATACCTTTATCTCCTCAGTAAACACAAAGATTGTACCATACACAATTTATACACATGACAAGAGTCGATATAAAATGGCTCCCTTTATATTTCCTTCCTTACCATGTTTTCCTTTTATATTTCATGACCGGTCAATCTGCACTGGAAAAAAAAATCAAACTCTAAAGAAGTCATTTAAAATAAGCACATTTAACCTTGAATTGAGGAGCTAAAAGATTTTGCCTCTCATTG